CTTGTTCCTAGCAAAATTTCACTATTTCTCAGTATTCTGCTAAGCTTTTGAAATACTTCCTTGGCTATCCCAATAAGCCAAAAGACCGATTTGTGCCGCAAGTTCAGTTTGGGCCTAAACTCTGACATTGCACTTAAATTTTTGTAGATCAATTTTGGCTCGGAAGCAATAAACCGGAAAAGAGGGCTATAAGCGGGAAGTATGGAATAAGAAACTGCTAACATAGAACTTACGGTTACATCTAGCTACTTCAAAAGTAAAATAATGAGATCTTGCCACCGATCTGCCATTAAATTCATAAAGTCTAGTTACCATATAGGAAAGTTCATCAGAACAATTACCATGAAAGTATTTATAGAAAAGGATGAGAAAAGTCATAATACGGCGGTGGGAAAGTGATTGAAGCAATAACAAGGACCAATAACATTGCAGATTCTTCTTTGGGTGTTAAAAAGAATCTCTCAATAAATAGCAGGAGCAGCAGAGCAAATATGGCAGAAATATTCAAAGAATGGACGAATGGTAAACTTATAAATATGTAAGACAGATTCTGGCGATAAAAAAATTACATAATTTACATAATTTATTTATTTTTGTTTTGTTTTGGTAAAGGATGTTACATTGACAATATAAAATCATAGGGATAGGATAAAATACTTTTCCCACTTTAAGATTTCCTGTAACTAAATCATTTACATTATTTATATTATTCGGGCTATTGTCCTCATCTTTGTCGCCATATTTATTACAACGTTTCGGCCGTTGTACGCTTCAGCCTTCTTTAGGTTCAGTTCGACATTCCAACCACCTGAAGAAGGCCGGAGTGTACAATTTAATAAATCTGGCGACAAAGATGAAGACAATAGTCCGAATAATATAAATAATGTACATAATACCTCATCTCAGAAATATAGACAGATAAGTCATTTACATATTTCCAGTTTATTAAATATAGGAATTCTTCGAACAATATTTCGGTGGCTGGTGTGAATTATTTCTAATTATCTACCAAATTCCCTACTGTTCAAACTTATTTGCCCCAGAAAAGCTCCGTTTTCACTTGTCGTCTGATTGACCTATCAATATGACTGCTAACCAATTAAACTGTGTCTGATCTCTCACCTCTGGATTTTCTATTTTTATTTACTCTCCGCCTAATATCGACAACACAGACATAGCATTTTCTGAGTTATCAAGTTTTTATTTAACAATGATTCCTTTTTTTTATATAGTTTACTTTATTCGATGAACCTGTCCTCCAATGTATTCATCCTATCGTGCGTCCTGGGTAAGAGGATAAACTACATCCGCCTCCTCGGTAAGACGATAAACTGCATCCAACAGCAAGGCCTCTGATCAGGAGGTTTTGAGAACCGTGGAACCACCTCTTAATTGCTGGTGTTCTCAGGTTCACCCTGATCCGGGGTGGTAGCACCTGTTAGGGTCTCAGCTATGGGTAAATAGCTCACCCCCAAACTGGGTTCAAAAAACCATGAAAGTGCAAAAATGGGTTTTAATCCCAGAAATATTTTGTAAAAATATTACCAGCAATAAATTTTTGAACAATAATTATTACCAGCTATACAATCTTGAAAAAAAAAACATTTTGTCGGTATTAAATAACCCATCGAGGTTAATATGCCTTAAAATAAAATAAACCAAACCAAACCAATCATCCTGTCATTTCAAATAAAATTTAACTGAAAGCAATTTAAATCACTGTCACCTTTGCTGAAAAACAAAAGAATCAAAAATATCCATACACATGACATATCTGTCGCTTTCATGACTGATAATCTTTCTATTGGTTGCCATATTTTAGTTAGATCTTCCATTAAATAACCAACTGAACCCAACTCTATATTTCCAGATTGTATTCTTTTCAATATTGAATAATTGGGAATCCGAATATGAATGGAAACTAAATCAAAGGTTATTATTACAAAATCAAATCTCTGACTAATTCATACATTTGTTTTTAAATTTCCAGGTGATAAAGCCACTAAGACGCAAGGGGGTGGTACTTAGAGTAAAGTTAGCTAAGAAAACCGAGAAAGTAAAATAAAAAGAACACGATTCAAATGGACAGAATATGACGACTGCCATTGCATTTAAATTTTTGAAGATTGTATTTGAGAGGAAAGCAAGAAGCTGGAAGAGATTCCCACAAACGAGGAATCATCTTCTTATTGAGTCGCTACACCACACCCATCCAGTGTTGAGCTTTCAAGGTCATTAAGCGTGCATTGATGTTCAAGAATGAGGCAAACTAGAACTTGTTCTATAGTTTGTTATTGCCCGCATTGGCAGATGGGATGAATATCGGTTGAATATCCCCATTTCTGAAGTTTAGCTCTTAAGCGATCAACAGCTGTTCGGAGGCGATCACTGGAACCAAGGGGTGTTAAGGCAACTGCACCACGGCGACAGACGCTGACTAGGAGCTGTGTTTTTCTTGTCTTGAGACTCTTTGCCATTGGTTCAAAGACATGGAAAGGATGATGAGGGTCAATTTCCTGATTCAAGGAATGTGATAGCAGAAAACATTAGAATAGAACATTAGAGTTAAAGCTAGCAACTACTACAGTAAAATGAGACCTAACTGCCAATATAGTACTGCGCTTAAATTGTTGAAGTCGAAGTACCAAAGAGGAAAGCGATATTTATTCTGCTATGTACCGAAGTGGGGAATGGGGAATGAGGAAAAGGACGGTCTTCTTCTGTCTTTACGTTAAACTTAGCTAAATACAAATAATGATCTTAACATACAACAATATTCCTTGCACCAAAACAATGCATTTTTATTTACCTTTCTTACTAAATCAAAGATAAAAACTCATCAGAATAATTTTCATGGAAATATTTATATAAAAGCACAAAGATGACTATGGAAAATGATTAAAACCAAGATGGCAGATCATGACCGATAAAAGTGCAGATTCTTTAGAAGTCAAGAATCTCTAAAAACGTAACAGAAGAACCAGGCTAGAAGTGGCATACAATCGAAACTCTTCAATGATATTAAAATAGTTGAACAAAATTAAATCCTAATTAAAAATCATGTATAACCTAGAGTTTCCTAATTTTCTTTATAAATGTTTCAAAAATCTGAAACCTTTTAGGTGATTGAACACGCTCTTAGCCATCAGAAAATGTAATACATCTATCAGAATTTCTCACCTACTAAAATTTGAGATAGAATGCTATTGGTAGTTTGTAACATGCTTTTATTCATAATTTACTTTCGTTGATGTGAATGTTATTATTTTAGTAGATGGAACGTTAAATAATGGAATCATTTACATCGGAACCTGGCAAAAAAAATCATATTGAATTTAGTTTTCTCTTTGCGCCAAATTTGAATATCAAAATGAATGTTTTGGGCACAATCGAATCTAGAAGCATTAAAAAACATGTCTTAGATTAATTTGTCCTGGCTTCATTCACACGTGAATTCAGTCATCCATTGCCGATGCGGTCATATTCCTCACCTCACCCACCAATCACAGCACGAAACTAATTGCGATCAAAAACAAAAAGATGTGCTCAATTTTTTTTTTAAGTTTCTGTCAGCTCTTGTCAATTCGTTTCTATAATATTTCAGTTCCAAATGGAACAAATGTGCCCAAAAAGCTGTTTTTTTTATTTTTTTTATTTTTTATTCTTGTATTTATTATTGATTCGGAAGTTTCAAAGATTTTGTGCGTGACTTCCAGAGAAATTCTCTTGATCGACTGAGATTACTTGAAATTGTCGAAGTATTTCCGAAAAATATTCCTCGATTCAGACGTACAGATTAATGAACAATGATCTTTACAAATTCTAGTGGGAAAAAAATTGAATGACAATCAAACTTCTTCTGTATCAGGCAATAAAATTGTTTATAAAAAAGACCGATTAGAATCCAGAAAACATTCAAATCGTTTATATTTGTTTTTTATAATATTTCACTTAATTGTTGAATCGGATTATTTTGTTATTTATCATCGGTTTTCTTCAGTAATATTAACCATTTTTATACGTTTTTAAATTGATTGATAATGGATTAATTCGCAAGCAGAACCTTTCTAAATTTATTTCCTATAAAGCACAGGGAAAACAAAGGAAGAAAAAATGCATTGAAAAGGGAAAATTAATAAAAGCAAAGGAAAAAATGAAAGAAAGAAAACGTCACACAGTCATTGAAATCTTTCATTTTTAGTAAGTTTAATTTTCAACAATAAACCAAAAAAAGTGTAATGAAGAGATTGTTTTGCTTCTATTTACCAACAGACTGTTTGCTTTGAAAATTGACATGCGATCAATAGCAACTATTAATAACGGAAAATAACTGATTTGAAAAGAGATTATTTGCATTTATTTACATTATTCGGACTGTTACCCTCATCTTCATTGCCATATTCATAATGTTTCGGCCATTGTACGCTCCCGCCTTCTTCAGGTGTTTCGAATTTCGAAACGGACCCTATATTTCGTCCACCGGGGTAGATTGTTCTAGTTCCACGTGCCATGCCTCTTCCGGGTGTCTCAGTTATTTTCCCTTTATCTCATCTCTCCAATTCTGGTTCAGCACTGCTGAAGCTTGGTATGCAACTCACCTTTCTTTGTGTCTGGTCACTGGATCTACCCAACAAAAAGAAAATGTTTATCAATCTAACCTGTTAGTTAAATATTATGCTGTTGTCTTTTTGAAGTAGTTTCCATGTTCAGAGAAGATGAGTTAGAATCAAATATAGATCAAATATGGATCTGAATCCAACCGAATGATAAGATAAAGAATGAATGGGAAACGTTTATCAATTACACATGTTAGATGGATATAATGTTGTTGTCTTTTTGAAGTAGTTTCCATGTTCATTCTGCCCATGTAATATTTTAGATCGATAAATGTTTCTTATTTGTTCTTTATCTCGTATTTCTGTTGTATTCATGTTTGATACCAAATCATTAATGCATATATATATCTGTATTTGAATATACACTTTAACCCCATATCTAACAACGGTCATCTTTTCTGCTTCACAGCACATAGACGCCTGAGTAAAACAAGTCACAATATTTGGTATTAAGAAGCCGATAGATAGATAGTTAGATAGATAGGAGAGTAACAAGTTATCATGGTTAAGTCTGTTGCTGGGAAATTCTTTTTTACTCATGTGCGTGTCGGACTGAAAATGTTCCTGGCCGTTGATCACGGTTTTTAAAGAGACACAATCAATAGCTTTCTTTTATTGCTTTTTACCTTCACTATTTTTTGACTTCGTTTTCTTTCTTTCGCTTACTTCCGGGTTTAATCTTATATCTTGTTTCCGCTCCTTCCCTCCCCACCACACTAACCTCTTTATATTTCTTCTCTCTGTCTTGATCTCCCTATCTCTCCCCCCTCTCATTCTCACTTAATTTTCTGTCATTTTCTTTTCTTTTGTCTTTTTTTCATTTTTATAATGTATTCCTTTCTTTTCTTTTTCTTTTTTTTTTGGCGTTTTCTCTCTTCACCCTCTCTCTTCACCCTCTCTCTTCACCCTCTCTCTTCACCCTCTCTCTTCACCCTCTCTCTTCACCCTCTCTCTTCACCCTCTCTCTTCACTCTCTCTCTTTTATTACGTAAATTTATATTTCTATATTTTTTCATTGTAAATTTCGGTATCTTTATTTCTATCTTTCCTCTCTCTTATTTTGTTTGTTTTTCTTTTTTCCGTCTTCTTATCACTCTTTCTCTCATTATTCTCTTTTCTTTTCTTTTTTTTTTTTCATCAATGCATGTCTCTTGTTCTATCTCTCTTTTTTTTTTATTCTTCTTCCTTCAATCTGTGGCAGTTCCTTATTTCTCTTTAACTCTATATACATTCTTCGCTTATTTACCGTGTCTTTCCTTCGGTGTCCAGAGGATAATTTGTTCATTTTATCTCACTTCATTTCTTTTTCTCTCTCTCTCTCGTCCTCTCCTACTCTCTCACAACTTTTCTTTCTTTTCTTTCTTTTCTTTCTCTTTCATCTCACTGGATTCTATTTTCCTTAATCTTTCAGTATTTAAATGTGTCTTTACTATCTTTCTGTCAGTCTTGTTTGTTTGTTTGTTGTTGTTTTTTTCTTTCTCTCTCTCTCTCTATTTTATTTCTTCTCAGGTTCTTAAAATCTCACTTTCTTTCTCTGTCTGTCGTTTTCTCCTCCTCCTCTCTCTCTCTCTCTCTCTCTCTCTCTCTCTCACTATTTCTCTCTCTTTCTGTCAATCATTCTTTCTCTCGCTCTTTCTCGTTTTACTCTTTCTCTCTCTCTTTCACTTTCTTTCTGTCTTTCTCTCGCTGTCTCTTTTACTCTCTCTTACTCTTACTTTCTATTTCTCTCTCTCTTTCTCTCTCTCCCTTCCTCCTTTTTCTCTATCTTTTTATCTCTCCTTCTCTCTTACTCTCTCTCTCATTTTCTCTTTCGCTCTCTTTTTTCTCTTTCCTTTCTCCTCAGTGCCTAGAAGCTTGTCTGTTTCTCTCTTTCTCTCAATTTCCCTTTCTCTAAATGCCTATCTTATTTGCCTTTGTTCCCTTTCTGTCTTTTCCCACATCGGTCTCTCTAGTCTTTTCAGGCAATTACGTTTTCCTTCTAATGTTTTGTGTTTATTGTCCTGTCTACTTATGGTTGTTGACAAAAGGAAGAGCCCAATATGGAAATCACAACTTGGAAAAACCAAAATTAAACAAATACAAAATGGCTTAACAGAGGGCGGCAGTTGTGACACTGAAATCCGAAGGTGTATAATGATAGCGATATATACAACCACAGACATAGTGTTTTGCAGCAAAGCAGTGTGGCGAGACATCGGATAACCTCAAGCAGAGACCGAAACCCAACTGATTTGGTATTAGTCGGAGATTTTACCCTAAGCCACTGGCTCACCGCAGGGATGACCGTCAATGTAGACGAATTTATTTTTTAGACAAACACGCCCCTGATCTATCTATCTATCTATCTATCTATCTATCTATCTATCTATATATATATATATATATATATATATATATATATATATATATATATATATATATATTTGCTGCCTAAATACCGAGAATATATATATATATATTCTCAATATTTAAACAGCAAATATTCTTAAGGCAAATATTATTAAAGATTACAGGTATTTTGCAGAGATGAAATTTACTCACTGAATTTTCCAGAATCAGAAAAATCCTTGCATCAGAAATTGTTCGGAGTTCATCTCGGAAGAAATATGCTTCAGTTTTTCATCTATCTATCTATCTATCTATCTATCTATCTATCTATCTATCTGTCTATCTATCTATCTATTAGTCTGTTCATATCTATCATAATCTGTTCATATCTATCTATCTATCTATCTATCTATCTATCTATTTGTTCATATCTCTCTACCTATCTATCGATCGGTCTACCACAGTTTTTTTTTCAAATCTAGAAAGTTCGCTAGATCAGTCTGATCACATTTGTTCATATTTATCTAGCTATTGATATAAAACTCTATCTATTTAATGAGATGTCTATCAACTTTTTTCTCGTTTCTTTATCATTAACCACCCCACCACCGACCCACGTGATTTCTTATGCTTGTTAACTCAAATAGCATTATAAGGAAACAAACTGTAGGGTTGGATCTGGTCCCAAACTCACTAACAAAATGGCAATATAAAACAATGTATTTTACCGTCACCACCGTTGGCGGTCACTCGTCTCGCGAGAACAAGCAAAATGAAAATCTTTCTGTTGGGTGCATATTACAACACAAGCAATTTTATTCGCTCCCTGCTTCACAAGCGATCGCATTTGTCTGCAACAAATAAGCTGTAACTTCCTCTCAGTTATTTTATGAGCTGAATTTCTGCTTCGCTGCATCAACACAATACTTCTATACCCTGTTGCCTTGAGTCAAAAATTACTTTCGCATAGTAATAATGTTAAAGTAAATTTGGGCATAAAACTGAAAAGCCCCTTTTATTATTGATTTCATCATGTATTATTTTTGACTGGTCAGTTTTTTCAACAGGAACCTCGCTGTAAAAAAAGTGCTTAGCATGGTTGTGTCACAGGTTATAACTATTTATGTTTATAACGATTTTTAATCATTTCAGCCCAAGCAAGGCATTAAAGTCACTAAAGACTCAACGAATTACTGGGTGTTAAAGAATATTAGAGAAATATACTATTAAGATTACAATAAAAGAATAATAATAAAGGGCACAGTAGATAACAATTAACATTGTATTTAATCTTTTGAAGATCAAAGATGAAGAAAAATCCTATAGCGTTTTCCACAAGCAAGAAGTGCAAAAGAAGAAACTGTCAGCAAAGAACTTACGGTTCGATCTCGCCATTTCAATAGTAAAATGATTATAACTTGCCGTTAAATCGTACTGTGTTTTGATACATAAAGTCCAAGTACAACAGAGGAAATTTCATCGCAAGAAATTACCATGAATGTATTTATAGAAAAAGGCACAGACATAGACATGTATCTATGATAGATTCTGGCGAGAAAAATTGTCAATCGCAACGATTATGTCTAAACAAGACGTAGGCGATCTTGACCTTCCTAAAACTTCCTGTGTTCTTGGGATATTTATTCGAGTTGGGGGCGGGGGTTCCAATTGTCTTCTCAACGGTTTAAATTCCCAGATGCTCTTCTACAATGGCTGTCCTATCAAGGATAGAAATAACAGTTTGCCTTTCTATTTTACTCATAGTTAGAGAAAGAGAGAGAGAGAGGGGGGGTAGGATATAGATATATAGTATGAAACAAGCGTAATAGACATAGCGGGAATTCAGACTCGACCTACCGACTACATTTTCATTTTACCTACACCACTAAAACATAGCTGATCATTACAGCTGAAGTCAATTCAAACCTATGTTAGGTGCTCCACATTTCTTGTCCTGTGTCGTGTTGCCTATAATCATCTCTTCTGTTACACTTCTGGTATTAGGTAATGTTATATACCATATCTATGAACACTAATTGATATGTCCCAATCCTTATAAATACGTTGGACACTATTGTAAGTAGGGGCAATATGCTGTTTAAGTAGTCCACCATTAGCAGTGGTTTACCTACTTCACGCCGCTGGCGAGTATTTTATTTTATTGGTGTTATAAAGATTACGATTTAATTTCCAACCTCCGTTTTGGTTATTCCTCATTCAGTAACCCTTTCTAGGTTACAACAGGTTACATCAGCAAGCCATACAAATGCAGAAGGGCGAACACTTAACGTTTCACAGACAAGCAAAAACACTTGGTGGCACAAAGATCTATTTAAATTAATAGAAAAAAAATTCGCTTTATTTGGAAACGAAATTAAAATAATTCAGAACAGTCATTGAGAACAACCCGTCTATATGCTGATAGAAAAAAGAATTTAGCATGTACACAAAAAATAAAAATGGATGTTAAACGAGCAGGTGTTTTCTCAATATACAGGGTGAGGCAAAAGTCGTTCGCTATAGGAGTTAATGGATAGGTCGAAGGGGTCCTGTTGAGAGGCCACTTGGATTTTTTTTCTGTAAGGACATTTGAAATCAGTTGCTTATGAGACGCGCCCAAGAAATATTGAGGAAAGAATTAAATATGAATGCAGTAAAATGACAGAGGAAACTCTCCGACATGTTAATAGAATCATGCTGGTACAGAACTGAAATGTGTTTTGAAAAAGGAGGACATTTTGAACATCACATATGTTATGGCCCAGGTTAGGACCAAGGAAGAACAACACGAACACAAGAGTAGAAATAACGAAGGTATATTACACGAAATAATAATACAAGAGGTGGAATATGTTAGTATGACTGTCAGTCTGGTTTGGAGTGAACTACTATCGGCTCGACTCGATTAGGTATCTAGCCAACCCCTACGAGGGTTGCATGTGGCAGAAGGCCGAGTTTTACGTGGATTTCCCGAGCCCGTAGGCTCGGCCATAAAATGCCCGTAGAACCCGTATAAACGGGATCGGGTTTGTCAACCTCCTCGAACAAGACTCTGCCCTTCGGCAGACATTTTGAAGGCAACCGAGTGAGAGGGAAACAGCGAGTCACATAGGTAAGGTATTGTTGTAAATAGACTATAGAATGTGGATTGGGAAGTGTAGTAAGTGGACAAACACTAATTTATAATGTTACAAAACGGAAAACCATGATCGATCACATCATGAAGGAACACGACACACAGAAGAATAAGACAATGCCCCCCTTGTGTCATACGAGGGTGATTCAAAATTCTCTAAGCATCACCCAGAAAGAAAGGCCATAGCTGAACAATTGTTGTGGCAACACAATATTAATTCTTATAAAATTATAAAAAAGAATTCAGATTTCTCTCGTAATTTCTGTGCGGAGGATATCTCGAAGTGGTGCAATGGTTAGCAATTTGTCTCGCTAGAACAATCACAAATGAGTAGTGAGTTCGATCTTTACTGAGTGTCTCATAATTTTTGGCCTTTTTCCAAATCTAAGCAATTGCTTAATTTCTGTGCCGGTGAGGCCCATACAAAAAGTGAGATGTATGAGAAAAATCTAACGAAACAGAGGCCCTTGCAGTCATAAAATATCCGCAAAAGAAAGGTATAACATCCAAGGAAATCCATGAGCACATAGAACAGACACTTGCTGAGGACTCTCCTTTCTATGCAACTGTGACGATATGAGCTGTAGGATTCAAGTGGACAATAACAGCAAAGAAGATGACCCAGAGTCAGCTCGTCCAGAAATCTCAACCACTGATTAACAAGTTGATTCCAGTGATCGTATGGATTTTGATGTCAGACGTCTTACAGTCCAGCGGATAGCTAAGTGCAAAGGCATTTATTCTGGTTTGGTCCATACAGTTTTAAGTGATATTTTGGGGATCAGCAAGCTGTCTGTACGTTAGCTTCCAAGAATGTTGGTACCAGAGCAGAAGCTGAAAAGTGTTGACATTTTCAGGGCATTTCTGACTCGCTTCCAGGATGACCCTGAGAATTCCCACCGCAGATTAGTAACTCTAGATGAAAACCTTTGTTCACCGCTTCGAACCTGAATCAAAGATTCCAAAGCAAATAGTGCAAACACTCTGGTTCTCCACACCCGAAAATGTTCAAGTAAGAAGCGACTGTTTTTTTCTTTCTTTTTTTTTTTTGAAATTCTGTTGGTGTAAACATGATAGACTCCCTAGAAAATGGAAAACTATTGCTGTTCAATACTATGTGCCAGAATTAAGGTAACCGAATGAAGCAATCAAATCGAAACGCAGAGCAAAGCGTAATGCAAATGGGCCCTGCTCCAGGAAAACGCACCCGTTCATATGGCACAGGTTGCAGTAGTTGAAGCAGCCAACAGTGGCTTTGAAATGTTACCCCAACCTCTTATTCACCAGACTTAGTTCCACCTGATTCTTCATAAATCCTTCACTCAAATCACATCTGCTTTGTCGATATTTTGGAAGCCATGTATAAATCATATGTGCTGTGGAGGAATATTTGAAGAACCAGGACGCTACCTTCTTCTATGATGGGATTGAAAATGCTTAAAGATTGTTGGATCAAGTGAACTGATATCAAAGAGGAACTATAATGATAAATAATGAAAAACGTCCCTATTTCTCCAAATGCTACTGGATGACAATATTCAGTCTCCCCCCCCCCACTGGGGCAACATGTGACACAAGGTCGGCTATTTATTGAGGGTTTTCCCGAGCCCATGGGCTCGGCCCAAAAATATGCCCATTTGAACCCGCCTAAACGGGTTCAGAGCCGGTTTTACCTCCCCGAAGGAGACTCCGCCCTTCGGCGTAGCCTCCTTCGGGTTCCTCTCCGTCCGGAGACAGAGAGATGAACCGAACAGTTGCTCAGAAAGTGAGCGACTGACTCCTACTGGATGACGCTTAGAATTTTTGTAACGATCCTCGTACTTAGACCAGATGGTGTTTCCTACTTAATCATGGTAAAAAAGATTGTTTCTCTTTGATCAGGATTATTTCAGTTGCGAGTTTAATCAGTAATTAGATAGGCGACAGATTAACAAGATCAGGTTTTATAAGGCAGCAGTACCCAACAACCAGAGCCGCGGACTGGTACCGGACCGTGAAACATTTGGTACCGGTCCGCACAGAAAAATAATTTTATTTTTTTTCATTTTATTGACTATCAAACGCTGGTTTAATTGTTTTGTTACGCTCGTGGTCGAACCCCGCCTCCACCAAGAATATTATCTTGTATGACACTCATCCATGACGCAAAAAGTTTGTCAACCACTGCTGTAAGGTATTTCTGGAATTATGCCAAACTAAACAAATTTGAAAAAATAAAATTAAAACATACTTTCGGCTTAATATTAGTTTGTATATATTTACAATATATACAATATATTTATTTATAAACCGATTTTTAATATTTAAAAAAAAGAATCATTTAAGCTGGACTTGGAACAATATCTTTATTAAAGTGTGAGTAAGAAACGTACCCTGCAAGCGGGAAAAATTGTTTTCCGCAACATCACAAATGTTGAACAGATTAATCTCACTAATGCTTATTCCCCACCATTGAGCTCTTAAATTGTCAATTG